AAACACCTTGGAGAAATAATACGTAATAGTTGTAGTAACATTGAACCATACGATTCATCTTATAGTTTTCAAATAGCATTTTCATTCCTTTATGACAAAGAATGGTCTAAAGTTTACAAAACATGCGGGCGACGTGCTCTCACACAAGTGATGCCCAATTTAAGTATGGACCGTTGGAAACTTCCGAAAAAGGCTGAAACAACAGCTTTGAACTTTTCCTACACCAGTTTGGTGTACCACTGCGCTTCTAAAAACGCCTATAAATCATATCCAATATACATATTTAAACATAACTTATACTGCTATATATATGTATATAACTTATAGCGCTATTTTCGGATAACGCAGAAAGCACTTTTTGCAAATTTCCAGAAATCACTTTCAGAAATAAATTTTGCGAGGTGTAACTGTAAGCAAAAGAACGCCAATTGCTTTCGAGAAATAATTTCAACTTGCTAGTGTTGCATTACCAAAACTCAAAGTGCTGTCGAAACAATCGAGTTTTGCGTATGACGCGATATTTCGCGAATGTGTAAAAATTATACAAATGTTGAATTAAATACCAAAAAGTACATGAAATATTTAAATATTAATGCATTCGAAATTATGTGGCGGATTAGCCATTAGTAGCTAGACGTTCTGTCATATTTCATCCTTTTAATTATGTAGTACATCGGAGTAATGCCGATTCCGTCCAGAATTTCTTTTTATTGAAATTCTTGCGATCACTTTTGGAAACTATTGAGTTTGACAGAAGCTCTGCAGTGTCAAACGTACTTGCACCTGCCTTATTTAACAGCTATTCAACTGCTTAAGTTTGTTTTCCCTAAGTTTTGAAACTTTTTTAATATATGCATGTATGCACATTAGGGTGCCTATCGAAACTGTTTTTTTTTTTTTTTTTTTTTGGAAATTTGAAGGCCCAACCCTTAATTTTATTCGTTTTTATGAGATATACTAGCCTTTACCCGCGCGTTTCACCCCTCGTCTTTATACAAATATGAAAAGTAATTTATGTAAAGATGTTATATTTTATCTAATTTTCCTATAGCAGAATACGGAAGGACAGTTGTAACTTTTTGGCACAGCAGGTGTTTTAATTTTCATTAAAATATCTCCAATAAATTATGTATATATGCATGTAAGTAATAGTAAATGTTGTTTTAGCTGATAAAAAATTCCACGCCTTTGGGATATGCCACGCTCCCTTTTACAGATTCATTTATCTCGACACCAACTTCTAGTATCTACTCTACCAAAAATATTTTAAGAGATATACAACATGAAAATTTAAGTTAGTATGGGAGGTGCCACGCCCGCTTTTCCAGCACTCCCGATTTTTCTCTATACCTATAACCTTCCCGGGGTAAAAACAAATAAGTGTGCGATCCCGTGCCGCGGTTCAAAAGTTATAAGGTAATGAACAAACAGATATTCACATATATATATATAGATTACTATTACCTAGTTTTATAGTTTTTTTTTATAGATTTTTTAAAGGTCATTTAGAGCGCGACCTGTCGACTTGGTTCAGAAAATACGATTTTGTAGATTTATGAGCGCTTTTGAATGATTATTTTTTAGTTGATTACAAAGTTAGAATAATATAAAATAGTATATCTCTACTAGTACTCTATTGTCGGACTTGGCTTGTTGGGATTTTTTATCGGTAAAAAAAAAAACAAATATTTCTCTTAATTTATTAAATTTTGACCATCAATATTTTTCATATTTTCAAAACTTGTAGCATTTTATAAAATAACATTTATTTTCAAACAAACTGAGACCTCAATTATTGAAACCGCATAAAAATTGTCGAAGTTAGGCAACTTTTCTTAAACGTTTAAACTGTTTATTCAGAATAAAAAAAAAAATGGGTGTGCAGTTTTGTAGGTAAATAGTAAAGTGCAAATTTCAAGACGCTAGAAAATCGCGTTGAGTTTTGATAATATTTTGTCTGACGGTGTTGAGCATTTTCTTCCATATAAAATATGCATGACAATTTCGTTTGTATGGGAGAAAATGTGTAGAACCATCAGCAAAACCAATTATTCATCAAAATTGAAAATCAATGCGATTTGCTAGAGGCGGAAAATTCGCACTTTAACCTTCTAAATATTAAAGTTTCTGGAAATTTCAGAATTTTTGTACATACATAGTTTGAAATATGGATTTATGTGGCGCTGGTTAGGTAAAGTGCTAAACTTTTATAAAAAAAAATAGAAGCATTAAATAAAGAAAAGAAAAATAGCTAAGCCTAGTCTAAATGTTACTTGACTTAATCAGTTGACCCCAAGTGTACATACGAGCGTAGTTAAAAAAAAAAAAAATATCTTTTCGGTGACCAGGGCGATACAAAATTCCTTCTCCTCTACAAAATTTTCCACTAGAGGATGCTATTTTTTTTTGTTAAAGACTTTATGAAGAGAGTTAGGCACTAAGTCAAAATTTTCCCTTCAGTATGAGTGCTGCAATGACACAGGTGTATCCGTAAATGGAGCAACCAAACATGCGCCTGTGTTTGTAAATTACTTAAATATATATCTACAATTCGGTTACTTAAGTAACTAATTAGGTATGCAAATATATAAGCATATATCAGCAAATTTCAAACGTCTTTTTGGTCGAAAATGGAGGCACACTTTCCCGAGAAAATGCATTATCTTCACGCCCCACGTTTTTCATTTTCAATCTCATAAGTTATTTATAATGACTTTTGCTAAAATTTCAAAATCAAAAGTTATCAAAACAAATTCTATGGGACTGCGAAATATTGTTTTCTACTTCTAGTTCATTTCTAGAAGCGTGGTTTATTAAAAAGTTTTTATTTTTTTTACTTTATACTTTTTAGTTTTGTCCGTATAAAATTTTGAAATAGACCTTAAAATAATTCAACGATATTCTGATTTGTATTGTACCCCACCAGAACAATTTACCCTATACTCCAATACAATTACGTTTTCTTTTTCTAATCTAAAACTTAATCACAAATTCTCCGAATTTCAACACTCTCTCACACAAAAATGCACAGTAGAATACGGCAAAATTTTCACATTGCTGTTAAGAAATTCTTAGAGGCTTTATCCAATGCACCACATAGAGCTACCTGTAAAATAAGGAGTATTTACCCAGTCAGTTCGGAATTTACATGGTGTTTGTTGTATACCAGCTAGACTTTTATAAAAAAAATAATAAGCATTAAATAAACAAAAGACAAATGCCAAAACTGGTCAAAAATTGCAATTCTTTTATTTTGTGGACCACTACATGTATATACATACATACCTAGCATATAAGTTCTTATGTATTGAGTGCAAAAAAGAGTGTATTTTAGTACAAAACGAAGTTGAATTTTATGTTTCTAAATATTTCTTGCTTAGCACAATATAAAAAAGCGTTTTATTTAATGTAAATAAATGTGATATGTGATTTATACACATACATATGTATGTATGTTCATATGTACATGTGTATGTAATGTTGCATAACAAGCCAATTAATTCAATTATTTGTTTTCTTTTGTTTTGTCAACTCCGTTAAATTAACTGATTTTATGAATCAATACATTTATTTGTAATTTTTTATGGAATCGGCATCGGCACCGGTACCAGAAAAAAAATTAACCCGTAGTTGCGTATGTAACGTATACGCCCCGTAGCACCATACGCAGTTATCGAACACGTTTACTCGCACGCTTTATTAAATATTGGCGTTTAAGATTTTTACAAAGTATACCTTATGCACATATGTATGTATGCATATATTACTTTCTTCATGTATGTATATAACAATTTTACAATGAATTCCGAGTTTGACAATAAAAATTGTAAAAATGGAATTTTAGTTTCTCAAATCATAGTCATCTTTTACTCAATGTAATCATTTTCATTTGGTGGTACACTAACTTTATTACACTAGATTCGTTCGTTTTGGCAAGAAGAACACTTTCACCGTTTAATTTTAACACTTTGAAGTATCTAAAAATAATAAAATTAAAAAATAGGGAAATTTCAAAAATTACATAATAGCTGCGACAGATATTCTGCATGCTGGCTTTTTTTTTATTCCGTGGTAAAATCTTGAAACTTCACAGATATTTTGTATTTGATGCCAACGTCCATTACCTCTAATATGAACATTCTATTTGAAGGCTTTTCAAAGTTATTAAATAAAAACTTATGCTTTTTTGGAGTGACAGTGAAAATATGAGTAATTTCGGTACTTTTTCGCCTAGATAAACGTTTCAAGGCTAAAATTGTTCAATAACTTGATGTTGTCATTGTACTTGTTTCTGAAACTCCACTGTTTGCAATAAAAAAATGATGATTTAGGATTTTTTTGGCGAGAGAAGGGAGTTATACTTATAAAAAAAAAATCGTGACATTTGCTCATACATATATATGTACATATGTATATTCATGTATTATATGTTAAGCAGCTAATTTTGAATGCATTTTACGCTTTTATAAAAGTATTGTAAAACTTTGAATGCAATGCATTACGCTCATTTTTTTGAATATATGCACAATAGTTGCGCTTGCGTGACTTTTAATAAGCGTCCACGAATTTTCGTACTTTTTGTCAGTGAACTATTATAAGCATGCGTGTATCGACTGCGCTAAACACGCACCGAATGTTGTATGCATTTTCTTTAAAACATATGTAAGGTTTGTGTGTGCTTTTCCAAAAATTAAAAAGTGAGATATTAGCATGCATACAAAACAATAAGTATCGAATAGGGTTTTAAATGAAATTAAATTTTGTATACGTATGTACATATGTATGTCTTTAACTTTCTGTTAACTGCTTATCATAACAGTAATTTTATGTGTTTTGAATCGTAATGCAGCAGCTACGTGATTTTTATTTTTTACAAGGTAAAAGTATTGTGTGTAAATAAAACATGCACCGCTATGCACTTGCATATAATTACTTCGTTGTATAAATCAAATAAATAAAAAATAAGAAAACACCTTTTTAAATGACTCACTCACCTTTTTTCCTGTTTTGTTTTTTGTTTTTGTATAGTTTGCTTCCTGTTTCCTTGTGTAAATATGTTTTTATTTGTGTTTAATTAAATGCAGGCGTCATGAAGTAGTACGAAGTAGCTTTTGTAGGTCTGCAGTGTATTGTGTATTTTTGAGGAGAGAGTATACTCGTACAGCTCACTAAATATGTGGTTATAGAAAATAGAAACCGTAACAGTCCTTTAATACAACATATAAACACATACATATGCACATAAAATGAGTGCGCTTATATTAGCTTATGTAAATGTGTTTAAACAAACTTACTTATGCAATGCAAGTCAAAATGTAAGGGAAAATTGAGCTTTTGAGCGGATAAGTAAGTATGTATGTACATATGTACGCTATATACATATTTACATATGTATAAGCGTAAACACGAGTACCTACATATGTACATTTATATACATATATATGTTTATACACGACATACAATTGTGCAAATTCCTATGTGCATGCGTTTCCTTGCTTGACTACATTTGCATATCAATTCTTGCTGCTGTCGAGTTGTTTTGCAGTTGTCGTTGCGGTGTTGGGTTGTGGGGTTACGAGTGCGTCCGACAATTTAGCAATAATGCGATTATAAAGCAGCAGCAGCATTCTGACAAAACTGGGTCATGTTCTGCCTACGTTCTCCGTGCCTACTTTTGTATATAGTACGTACATAGGTATATATATATATATAGTAAGTCTACGGGTATGGAAGTCTATATACATACACCTTGACTCACTTGAATAGGCACATATTTTACTTGGAGTTCGTAGGCATAATATCGATTTCATTTTCAAGAACGAACGACTTAAAAAATAATGTCCCTTTTTTATATACTTTGTTTATTATTGTGTTATGTGCGTGATCCGAATTAAAACAAAAAGGCTAGAGGAATTTGATAGAAGGTTTATTTAATGTGAGGTCAACTGCTATCTTACAAGGATGATTAAAAATTTTGCTCTTTTCTCGATCGAATGATTTGCGAAGGAAGCAAGATACCTCCGCACTATGTTTGAGAGGAGTCCAGGACGTGATAACGTGCTATGAAACTGTTGAGCTCATATTTCATACAAAACATTTAAAAGTCTAAGTTCGGGCGGAGCCGAACATTAAATACCCGGCGCAAGTATTAATATAGTTTTTTCACCTGTCCGAAAACTACCGCTACGTGGAAAACAGGGGTGGTTTTACGTCTATTTCAAACACCTTCGATAGAACGTTCACTCAGTTATAATTAGATAACCTTATATAGATATATGTGGGCGACATCACGCCCATTTTCCAAAATTCCATAATAATATCACTTCTTTTCAAGGGATTGTTGTAAGTATCAATTTTGGGTAAGCCTGTCGTCCTAAAATTTGGAGATATCGAAGTTTCAAGCATTTCTGAAACTTATCTTTATTGAAAAGTTGGCGTAATTTTAGTCAGATTTCATCGTTTTGCTTTATGTGGCAAGCACAATACTCATACCGAGTTTGGTATAAATTCATTTAATTATGAGCGTATTTTATGCTAATGAATTATTGCAAAAATCAATTTTGAATAAATTAGCTTCAGTATTTATTGATTTATCGAAGCTTTTCTCTAAATTACCGTTATATAGGATACCAGCGTAGTTATTGTCCGACTTTAAAAAATTTCGGATAATTTTTGTATGTTTTGTCAGGACCAACAACTGTGCCACGTTTGGGAGAAATTGTTGGAGCGGTTCTCAAGATATACACATGTAATCATAAGTGGGCGTGGCTACGCCCATTTTCCAAAACTTTATAATATTATTATTTTGTGCTTAAAAATGATTGTGAATATCAATTTTGAGTGAATAAGCTTTAGTAGTTACTTAAACGTGGCAGTTTTCGTATTTCTGAAAACTACCGTCATATGGGAGGTAGGCGAGGTTATTGTCCGATTTTGACCATTGTCAATACCATCCGTTCTACGCTGAGAAGAAGTACACATACATGTTTCGTTAAGATATTTCAATTTCTACTCAAGTCATCGTGTGCAAAAAATCGAATAGATGGCAACCTTAACAAAAGATATTTTCACTAAAGTTTTATTAAAACTCTTTCTTTTACCACTCATATTTTAATATTTCATTAAAATTGTGTAAAAGCTAAATAAATTAGGCTCTTCAAACAGGTGGCAACCTGCTGCGAAGCATCTTCAAACTGAAGTCATTTAAAGCTCTTTCGTTCGATACTTTGATACATAATTCAATTACCTGAAGAATTAAATTGAATTTAATTTGTTTACCACCTGGCAACCCTCCTAAACAGTTCAGATATAAATCCTTCTCAAACCCATGAACGATTAAATCACATCTTTTAGTAATTTATTTAACTTAATAATTCGTTTAAATTTAAAATTTTCGACAGCTCTCAACTCTCTTCAAACCATCAAAAAAAATATTGATGTTTAAATTGAAGATTTCCTAGCACTCTTTCGTTTAACGCCCATATTTTAACAATGCATATAAATAAATTCGGCTTTTAAAGCAGGTGGCAACCCTTTCCAAAACATTTTCAAATTACTACCTTTATAAACTCCTCCAGTCCATTTGTAAATTACCTATGTAATTTCCCTGTTTAAAATTTAATTTTATTTTTTAAACAGAGGCAACACTCTCACAGTTAAGTTAAGAAGCAAAGCTTTTAATAACCATTTTGACTGATACCTATGGCAACTCTTTTCAAAAAGTAAAACCTCATTCCACATCTGCAACCAAGCCTTTTAATTTGACACCTCATTTTTGAAAATCGAGCGAAGAATGGGGTTATGATGGTATTGATTTATAAATAATCTGAACTTGATTTTGAAAAGGTGGCCATTCTTTCCGGAAAAGTAAAAGCCTACTGCACATCTACATATCAAGCCCTTTAATTTGATTCCTCATTTTTGAAAATCGAGCGAAGAATGGGGTTATGATGGTATTGATTTATAAATAATCTGAACTTGATTTTGAAAAGGTGGCCATTCTTTCCGGAAAAGTAAAAGCCTACTGCACATCTACATATCAAGCCCTTTAATTTGATTCCCCATTTTTGAAAATCCAACGAATGGTTCAGATCTGATAACCTGGACAAAAAGTCCTTTCGCGTATTATATGTACTAGTGTTCGCCCAGCGGTTGAAATTCAACCGCTAAAATTAAGGATAGTTTATGTGAGTTGAGTTGAGCTGAAATAAAATTTGTTGGAATGGGTTAAGTGGAGGGGAGTTTAGNTTAAATTCGACTTTTTATGTAGGTGGCAGCCCTTTCGAACAGTAGGTTCGCGCTAAGATATTCTTAAATATTCTTCGTCTTACATTGCGTTACATATTTTAATCAACTGATGAATTAAGTTGAATTATACCAATTATACATGTGGAAACTCCGCTAAATATGGTTCAGAAATAAACATTTTTCAACCCCCTTCGATTGATACCCATATTTTAATAATCCATTTACCTAATTTAATAATTTGAATTTCATTTTTTAACAGGTGGAAACCTTCTTCCAATACCTCAAAAATATTTTGTATGTTCAAGCTAAAGTCTTCTTAATATTCTTTAGTTACACATCATTATTTTGACATTTCATATAACTTCTGGATAAGCTAATTAAATTCGACATTGCAAGAAGGTGGCAACCCTCCTCGAAATATTTTCAAACGGCCACATTCTGAAGCCCCTTTCGTTATCCGGCCATATGTTGAAACATATTCCTCCTAATTACTTTTCTTAATTCAAATTGAATTCAACTTTTTAAACAGGTGGCAACCCTCCTAAAGTTAACAAATATATTCAAAACCCTTTCCACTGGTACCCATTTTGTAATAATTGATTGATTTTTTTTAGATAATTTGAATGAATTTTTTTTAATTGTGAATGAAATTTTTTATCAGGCGGCAACTCTTTTCGAAAAAGTTAAACCTTATTGCACATCTACAGACCAAGCGCTTTAATTTGACATTTCATTATTGAAAATCGGGTGAACGGTACAGATCTTTTATGCTGTACAAAAAATGCCTTTTCGTATTATATATATACATATAAATTTGAGGTAGCGTTTACGAATAAAAAAAAAAATAAAAATTTTAACCACTCTAATGAAGATATATCAATATGAGATTTCGATAATAAATTAAAGAATAACTGTAAAACAATTCCACTCACGCATTTTAATCATGTCGGCATTGTCTACATTCACTTTCTGTTGCTATCTCAAATGGCCTCAGTATACATATATGCAAGTACATACATACATATGTCTGTACATTAGCGTGGCCCGAAAATCTGCTTTTTTAGATTTTGATTGGTAATAGCAAAAATATGGTTCACTATGCTCTAAAAACAATCTGTGTGAAATATGACAATTTTTGGTCCAATATCTTAGGCTCGCCCAAGTCCGTAAAAGTTCAATATTGCCAAAAAATAAAAATTAATAAACAAATTAAGTAATACATTTTTTCACTAAAATTGCAATAATCTTCTAAAGTATTAGTCCTACATAATTAGGTATATGGACCTTTTTTGTAGAGAATCGAAGTTAGTTAAGAAAAGTTGTTTTTAGTACTTCAACTTTGATGGACTTGGGTGAGCCTAGGATATTGACCAAAAACTTTCACATTTCACACAGATATTTTTTAGAGCATAATTAACCATATTTTTGCTATTACCAATCAAAATTCTAAAAAAGTGGATTTTCGGCCCACGCTAATGTACATATGTATGTATATATTTTTTAATATTTATTTTGTGAAAAATAATTGGATGTGTGATGTGCAACATACAGTATAGTTTCGAGTTGAATGCATTTCCAATCGCTGGAATTATTCTTATATTGTCAGGCCTAAAAGCTTGAAACCTCGATTGGTCCCCAGAGTTTCTATTACCGTTTTTCAAGTTTTCAGCCACTGACTATCGATTTAGTTTGTATATATCGTTTATATACATATGTATGTACATGTACCTATAGATAAGTATCTGCAATTGCAAGTCGACCATTGTATCTGCGTGCAACCGTACCCTGCAGGAAATGTATCTAACTGTAAGCTAACTTTAACTTTATTAGGAAGGAGCTAAAAGTCACTTATTATCTGCATATTTTCTTTGACGAAAGCTAACTATATTTCTATGGCGATGCCCGCGAAGTAGTCAAAGGT